TGGTGGGACATATCTAAACCAATGCATGCATTGTTTTAAACTTTGACACTTCCAAACATTGTATTGTGCACAATACATATATTCAATACAGTGTAACACACAACTCTAATAATCACAACTTTCAAACGACTGCTACGTATGACATGTGAATGGTATATAAGCTCAAATCCAATAGAGAATAACATAAATTTCAAATTAATAATGACCATATTTTTTATTCAAATAGAATTTATTTCAATCAAGTCATAAAGATCATCGGTCTTATGCTCTTCCTCATCCTTCCCTATCTTGATAATTGTGTCACTTAAGACTGAAAAGACATGTCGTACTCTGCCCATGAATAACGAAAAAGAGAAAGAGGTAAGTGAAGGAAAAGAATTTCATTATGCTCCTTGTTATATTATACTTACATGAAAACATCCAAACCATTTTTGTTAATTAAAAATTTAGCTCCCTTCATCCGGCCGTTGCAAGTTATAAATTCAACAAAATATTATAACTAAGTATGACCTGTGAATGGTATAAAAATTTCAACCTAATAGAGAATAACATAAATTTGTAATTAATATTGATCATCATTTTGATTCAAATAGAATTTACCTCGATTAAGTCAGGATGATAACCGGTATTGTGCTCTTATTTATCCTTCCCTATCCTTATAATTGCGTCACCTAAATCCAAAAAGACCTTTCGTACTCTACCCACGAATAACAAAATAGAGAATGAGGTGAGTGTTCGAGGAGAATTTCATTACAGTCTTTGTTATACTATACCTATATGATAACTTTTACTATTCATTATTAGAAAATTGCTTTTTATTTGCACAAAACGAAATTTTCTAATTTGTTAGGATAGACTTGGATAGGGTATGATTATTGCTATTATATTATATTTGGGCAATGATTTATATTAGGTTGTTTTAACTACATATACCAAATTTGACCGATATGTTTAATTAAAAAAGTAGGTATCAAAATGTAAGGTACCTCCTTTTTTTAAGGCAAGATAGCTCTCTTTTCCCGAAGTGGATAGCGAGAAAAACTGCTGTAAAAGGTTCCTTCCCTCTCAAATTCTTCTCTCTGGCTTTCTTTCCCTCCCCTCTATAACGAGTCATTTTACCCCTCCAGCGCTCTCTAAAATCGTATTCATATAAACCAACATCGAATAAGTTAACGAATTAGGTGAAATCTTAATGATCCAAAGAATTGTTTGACAATCATTAATTTCATAATATTTCTTAGGCATGGCCGTATAATATTGATAATTTTTGTTGATTTCTGAACAACTGAAGTCACCAGCATAACTTGTTCAACAGTCGACATCCATCAAATCTACTGTCCATGCATAACAAATAAACTACGATCTTTAATAATGTTAGTAATGATATATGATTTATAATTGAACCTCTTTGAATATATAACTTGAGTTATTGAAACCAACTGATTTTTGACATGGTATCAAAGCCTTATGTAACCTAGAGAGATTCTGTTCGAATCTCGATGATCTCCATTTGTTCTGTAAAGCATATGGGTCCGAACTTGTGCAATTTTAAAGCCATTCTGAGTTAGCTTTCGTTTGAGGGGGGTGAGTTATAGTAAATGGTATATGATACATAATTGAACCTCTCATAACAATTAGAGTTATTGTGACCAATTGGTTATTGACAAATAAAAACAAATTTCAGTCCTTCCAAAAGTAAATGAATTTCAAATATCATACATACTCATTCTCTTTCGGCAAGTAAATTTGTACATAAATTGTTCAATACTATTAAAAAACGTCCTCGAACAAAATATTTTGCATGGTCTTCGATTATTCACCTTCTGAATCACAAGTTCAATTTTCATTCCATGTTGTGTTGTAACTCGTGATAAGGCAACATAAAGCTGGCATTGAGAGAAACTTGCCTTTTCTAGTAGAGATCGGCGTGTTTCAAAGTTTGTTCTTGACTTCTGTTAATTGTCATAGCAAACCAAACTGCCATATGATAGTATCCCCTAACCCATGTGAAATCCCGACTTGAATAATGAGAAGACAATTTAATCCAAGGTAGAAAGACACTTTCACCAATATGAGTACCTGTTAGAATCTCAATTTCAATAAACCATATGTACCTAGTCTTTGATTATCATACTTGTGTCATAGCAGAGACCTATGGTTTGATCCATATTTCTCAATAAAATGGCAGGGCATCGAACTTTCAGCCTAATAAAATGGTATGGAAAATTACTAATCTTCAATGCATTGAGAAACTCCACAGAATAATTTCCATCGTTTATATATCCATCTACTTTACCTCCAATAGATGCCTATGAGAAGATTCCAAAAAGTGATGTACCATTGAATTTTTTTTTACAATAGCATATCCAAAACCCTCTGGAGGCTGCCTTCGAGGCAAGAGGTTCCATTTGCCTTGTCTGCAACACAATGAAACTTTGGTTCACGAGAATTATTTCTCGCGGGCTTGGTACTTTCTCCCTCCACATCATCGCTCCACAATATTCACATTTATATGATAGGGTTCCAATATCAAATACTTCAACAACTGCAATAAAATTAAAATTCCAATATAAGAAATACATTTGATAAAAATTCCAACATTATAATAAATGAAGGAAAATGAAATATTTAAAAAATTTTGAACCAAGAAAGTCTCAAGAATGCATTATCCAAAGACGATTGTAATGATTTTTGGCAAGTTTGATGGATCTAAGAAAATATATTTCTCTTAGTTTGTAAGTTATTCATCTCATTTGGAAGTTACGTATAGGAATCAACAAAATAAGCAACCCTAGTAACCAACACATAATTTGATAGGATATAAATGGAAAACCATATAAATCGAAGACAAACATGAGGAATAGGTAGGAATGTTGACAATTTATCCGTATATATGTTTTTGCTTCATATAAAGAGCATGTTTCCTTCTTGATAATTTTGTCAATAGTTGATCAATTCTCCTCAACTCTGAATTATATGGATCAAATTCTGAAAATGTAAAATGGAGAGTAATAGTTTTCTAAGATCAACCAGTGTGCATTAGTTAGAGAGATTATAATCAATGGGTAATTCACTGATGTTCATACCATTTTAGTAGTTAGGGAGAAGAAGCCTTGTAAAAGAGAGAGAGAGAGAGAGAGAGAGAGAGAGAGAGAGAGGAAAAAGGTAGAGAGAGAGAGTTCTCTGCCCTCTCTCCTCTTTCAACGGTAAAATGAGCGACGGAACCCCACTGGAAAAGAAGATCTGCCACAATCTCAAGCCCCCAGATGATTCACTGACGTCTTCACCAGCGCAACCGAGAAAGAAAGCAAAGGCCCTGTCCAGTGAGGGATTCTCGGGACAAAGCGATATGCAAATTCCAGTGGTAACTGCAAGAAAGCAAGAACAAGAAACGCGGATCTCGACGGAGGAAAACGCAAAAAACACTGATGAAGATTGGGGAAACAAAGAGGCTACCGAGAACATGAATAGCAGCCCCACCAAGCCCTCATATAAAGACTGGATGATGGGTGAGAAAGAAGTGCCGCCAGAACTACCAGATGGAGATGACCTAATGTCCGACGAGTCTGATACGGAAGACGTTGAGGACGACCTGGAATGCCCGACAATCAGAATTAGGAAGAGAACCAACGCCCACATTGGATTCCTCTGGAGAAGAGCAATTACTTTCAAAATTCTGGGTAAGATCTTCTCCTTCCCATTTGTGAATAGGCGAATCTAGAGTATGTGGGCCAGAACGGGTGGTGTGAAAGTGGGGGATATTGGAAATGGGTTCTTCCAGGCTACGTTTGATTCTCAGCTCGATCGAGATTGAGCGCTCTATGGAGGACCGTGGACAATTGACGACCACTACATCGTCTCAGAGCCGTGGCGACTTAATTTCCACCCGGATTATGACATGATCAACCACATTTCTGTGTGGGTTAGGCTCTCACGCCTCCCACTTGCTTATTTCGATGAAGAGATACTCAATGACATCGGGAATAGGCTCGGGCGTAGGGATGGCAATCAAACCCATGGTCGCGGGTATCCGACCGCCCCCGACCCAGTCAACGTGGGGAATCCCCGCATTGACCGGGTATGGGGCGGGTATGGGTAAAACCCGCAAACAGTTTCATGGGTATGGGGCGGGTATGGTTTTAGCCTCCCCCACCCCATACCCATACCCATACCCGCCCCACCAAGAACATTTCTTCACATATAAAAAGTATATTGATTAAATTGTAATCTATCATTAATATCGAGGGTAACTCATGAAAATAAATAGTATAAATACAATTGAGTGACCACCCAAATCAAAACATAATTCATTTCCTCCAAATCTTCCTTCATTCTTTGACCTTTTCCCTCATGTTAACAACTTTATATTGGTAAGTTATTACTTAATAGATGTGCAAAGTCAGAGAATAATGATTTGGCTTATATTGTTACTCTATCTTATGGATTATTGGATGTTTTAGAATAAGATGCTTAGAATCGTATTAAGAATGATTGTCTCTTTGTCGACTTTATGAAGTAGTAGGTGCGTTAAGTATTACAATTGAAATTTTTGTATGTAAAATTTTAGCTATTATAATGTTGATGTACGGGGTGGGTATTACCCATGGGTACCCGAAACCCATGGGTATGGGGGGTGGTTTGCAAATCCACCCCCCCCCCCCCCCCCCCCGCGCGCATGGGTATGGGGTGGGTATGGGTTTGGATATTTGAAAGCGGGGATGGGGATGGTTTAGGCAAACCCGCCCCATTGCCATCCCTACTCGGGCGAGTGGTGAAAATCGACTACAACACTGCTAATGGAGTTAGGGGCAACTATGCGAGAATCTGGGTGGAGATTGACCTCCGTAAGAAGCTTATCTCGAAATACAGAATTAAACAAAGAGTGCGCAGGGTGGAGTATGAAGGACTCCATGAAATATTCTTCGAGTGTGGTCGCTATGGACAACTCTAAGAAGAAGGTGGATGCTAGGAACAACTCTAAGAAGGAAACGGCCAAGGAGATGCCCAAAAGTAACGGATCCAGGTTCGATGTCCTGATCAATGAAGAGGAGAACTTAAGCACTCATTCTGAAGAACCCAACCATCAAAATGTGGACAAGGTGAAGAAGATGATGACGGGAAACTCAACTAAGAAGGATAGCATGGAGGAACAAAACGAGAATACAGAAGGAAATAATGAACAGAAGAGAAAGAGCCAATTGAAGAATGACAGTGGAGACAACAAGAGGGAGCCACCACCAGCTAGGAAGGGGAATCAAAAGGCTTCCCCTGAGCTGGCTAAAAAGGGAGCGAGGAATGACAACCAAACCTCTAATAGGTTCACTCCCTCTGCTGAGATGGGTAAATAGAGAGCTCCAGAAGGTCAGGGACCCCTTACATCGGAAGGTGGAAGTGCTGGAAGGAATAAAAAAAGAGAAGGAAGGTAGTAAACGGGCCACGGGGCATACCATAGGGACAAAAGGACCTAAGGGAATGAAGACCCCTTCCAATGCTGCACAACGCCCCGTTGACCCCGGTTCTACACAAGGGAAAGGGAATGAGAGAAGTAGTTCCCATTGAAAGGCAAGGAAGATTGACTTTGGAAATAGCAGTCCAAAGTCAGGATCCAAGAATGTTCACTACTCACCAACAACAAGCCTAGCTAAGGGAGGAGAGGATCAGACGGTTGTGGCCCTCGACAATGCTTGATATTTCTGACCACCTGGTCACCGGAGGGAAGTATTATCATTAGCCTTTGTAATGATCAGTATCTTCTCCTGAAACTGCAAGGGTACAAGCCACCCAAAGCTTCGTTCTACCCTTGAGTTTTATAAGGTCAACTATAAGCCGAGTATTTGTTGTATTTTGGATCACAAAATCGGTGGTGCTGAAGCCATGGAAGTCATCAACTCCCTTGGATATAATTCTTGGGTGATTTCGGATGCTGTGGGATTTAGTGGAGGTATCTGGTTTCTGTATGACAAGGAGAATCTCACAGTGGAATCTAGCGAGACCCCGAAGCAGTTCATCCATCTCAACTGCAAGCTGAATGGCTCAGCTAAGATCTCACTGACCGCCTGCTATGCTAGCCTGAACGAGTACGAAAGAAACAGCTTGTGGGACAAAGTCAGAAACATCGAAAGGCAAACCAACATTCCTTGGATGATCTTCGGAGATTTCAACTCAATCACACAAGCGTCAGAAAAGCAAGGAGGAGCTAGGTTCAACCCGGCCAAGGTTAGAGCTTTCAACAGCTGCATTAGCAATTGTGGATTGGTCAACCTCGCGTATACAGGGCCAAGCTTTACGTGGTTAAAGGGGAAATCCAGACTGCGAGAGCGCCTCGACAGGAGCCTTTGCAACTTATCCTGACAAGAGAAATTCCTAGAGACAGTGAACTACCACCTCCCTAAGATTAAATCAGATCATTGACCGATCCTCACCTGCAGCTCCGGCCTGCCTGACAGGAGCAATTTGGTGAGGAGATTCCAGTTTGTTGCTTCTTGGTTGGGACACGAGGGTTTCTTTCCTTTTGTCTCTGAATCATGGATGAAAAATCACAATTTCCTTTCCTCCTTACAGGTGCTACAGAACAAGCTCACAACATGAAATGAGGAGATTTTTGGAAATATATTCAAATGGAAGAAGAAGCTGATGAACAAATTGCAATCCCTGGAATGGAGAAACGAAAGAAATGCGACAAACCAGTCACTTCTTGCTGAGCAGAGAACAAGAGAAGAGCTGGAGGACACTTTATGGCAAGAGGAGCTCTTGTGGCTGCAGAAGTCGAGGGCTAAGTGGATCTCGCAGGGAGACAAGAACACCCGCTTCTTCCACACATCCACCATTAGCCGCAGGAAGAGAAACAAAATCAAGGGCCTCAAGAACGAAGTCGGACAGTGGGTCACCGGCCCTGAGACCCTCCAAAAGATGGCTCGGGACTTCTATGCCCAGCTGTACACTAAAGATAGAGAAGAAGAACCAACACCTGTTGCGGCAGAGTTCCCAACTTGGGAGCAGAGCGAGCTCAATAGAGTTGGCAGAATACCCACTCCGGAGGAAGTCAGAAGAATTGTTTCCAGCATGAGCAGCTTGAAAGCTCCTGGGAACGACGGGTTCCATGCCCTTTTTTACCAAAGATTTTGGGATGTGGTGGGAGAAAACTTCTACAAGTTTTTGGTGTCCTACTTCCTAAATCCTGAAAGGATCAGGTGTGTGAATGAAACCCTCCTTACCTTAATCCCTAAAGTGGATTCCCCCACCTCGACAAGCCATTTCTGGCAAATTAGCCTGTGTAATGTGGCCTATAAAGTCATTGCCAAATGCCTCGCTGAAAATCTGAAACCCCTCATGAACTCTCTTATTCAGCCTAATCAGTCCAGCTTTCTTCCGTCCAGAAGCATCACTGATAATATTTTGATTTTGCAGGAAATGTTGCACTCAAAGTAAAGGAAAACAGGAAAGAAAGGGCACATGTTGATGAAGATCGACCTTGCCAAAGCTTACGATCGACTGGACTGGGACTTCCTACTAGAAACCCTTGAAGCTGTTGGCATTCCAGAAGCTGGCGTCTGAATGATCATGAGCTGTGTTACCACAACGGAGCTTTAAGTCCTATGGGATGGTGGAGAAACAGAAAAAATCAATCCAAGTAGATGGAAACCTAGGACATTGCATTGCTAGAGAGGTTAGGGAGGGTAGATGGAAACCTGTTAGGATTGCTAAGGATTTCTCGAATCTTTCCCACCTTTTTCTTTGCTGATGACCTCGTCATTTTTGCCGAGGCTAGGCAATAACAATCTAATGTTGTTATGCAATGCTTGGAACGTTTCTGTGAAGCCTCGGGGGAGCTCATAAGCAAAGAAAAGTCTCGAACCTTTTTCTCTAAAAATGTGAGGGTTGTTGATAGAATTAGCATGTGTAAACGCCTAGCCATTCAGAACACCTCTGACTTAAGGAAGTACTTAGGAGTCCCAGTACTCCACGGTAGAATCTGTAGGAACACTTATCGCTATATCCTTGAAAACTTTGATAAGAGACTTAATGCTTGGAAAGGCAGGACCATCTTGCTTTCAGGGAAAGTCACTCTTGCCACTGCTGTGCTGAACGCTATTCCTGTTTATGCTATGCAAACATCTTTTCTCCCTATGGCTGTTTGTGACGAAATTGATAAAAAAAATCAGAGCGTTTGTTTGGGGTAGCTGTGATGGGAAGAGAAAGGTCCATCTGATCAATTGGGAAACTGTTTGCCAGCCTAAGGAACAAGGGGGGCTTGGTTTAAGGACTGCCATAAATTGGAATATGGCGTACCTTGTGAAACTTGCATGGAACCTGCTTAACAATGACAAAGCCTTGTGGGTGCATGTCTTTCAAGGGAAATATTTCAAACATAATGAAGGGGAAATCATTGCTATGAAACGAAGAAACCACTCCCCACTGTGGAAAGCGATCTTGAGAGCAATGCCAATTATGAGAGCTGCAACATGTTCAAGCATTAGAGATGGCGAGTCCACTGCATTCTGGATGCAAGCCTGGGTGGATTCAGATACTCTCCTTGAGGACTCCCTTCTTACCAGCATCACGGAGACTAAAAGGGAAGAACCTGTCGCAAATTTTACTACCCCTACGGGAGAGTGGAATTGGGATAGATTGAATGAAAAGCTACCTAATGGCGTGCTCAACCTTATTGCAGGTATTGAACCACCAAAACAGGAGCTGGGGGAAGACAAAACAATCTGGGGAATCGAGGCGGATGGGAGATTCAGACTGAAATCTACCTACAAGCTGGTGGCGGAGGAGTTAGAGATGGCAAGAGATAGAGACTGGAAGGATCTCTGGAAGTGGAATTCACCAAGCAGGATTAAACATTTCTTTTGGCTTACAATGCACGAGAGACTCCTCACAAATCAGGAAGGGTCCGACGAAAGTTTACTACAGAGGGAAATTGCAATTTTCATTCTTGTAGTGGTAAAGAAGAGTCCCCAGAACACATCCCGCGAGGGTGTAAAAAGACTGAAGGATTATGGATGAAACTGAGGCACTCTGTTGATGAACTAGACTCAAGCATACCGTACAAGACTTGGCTCATCAGGAACCTCAACAGCGAGGAGAAAGGAATCAATTTTGGTGTCATTCTGTGGCACATATGGAAGCAGAGGAACGAGGAAATCCTGGATGGGAAAAAATACTATGAACAGAGCCTTCTTAACAGGATCTTTGCATTTTGTAATAGTTTGAAAAAAGCACAGAGGAAAGATAGTCAAATCACCCCTGTGGTAGCGAAGAAGAAAACCTTGCAGGAGCTGTCATGGAAACCACCAAAAGAGGGCTGGCTGAAAATCAACACCGATGGCTCTATGTGTGCAGGGGGAACAAAAGCTGCTACTGGGCGGATCATGCGGGATCATCTGGGGAGATGCCACGGCACCTTCTCTTCCAACCTCGGCAACTGCTCAATTACAAGGGCAGAACTCAAAGCTGCTGCAATTGGGATCGAAATGGCATGGCAGAGAGGCTACCATCAAGTCTGGCTATGCCTCGACTCCAACACCGCCATTCATATTATGAAAAATCGACAGGATTTTGATCATCGACATGGTTTGATTGCCATGGAGATTAATCGACTGCTTGCTCAGGAATGGACTATTAAAATCAGCCACTCATATAGGGAATGTAATAGAGCAGCAAATTTTTTGGCCAACTTAGGACGTAGTCTTCCTTTTGGCACCCACTCGATTGAGATTGGGGAACCGGGGCTTAGGCAATGGATCCACTACGATGTAATGGGTATTTCCTTGGAACGGTTAATTGTTAATACGAGCTAAGACATCCTAGGTGTTTGTCTTCTCACCAAAAAAGAAGAGATCTTATTTTGCACTTTAATAAGAGATCAATCTGAATCCAGCACACCTTTTGATGGCATAAAAACGACTCTTCTTTTTTATAATAACATGTAGCATGGACACACAATAAATTTTAAGATATATATATAATTATGCTAAGTAAAATATTTGTACTTACATTTTTTAAAGATCGAATTGAAGCATTATTTGATTGTTTGGATGATTCTCCGCTAAAAAGTTGTCTTCAATCTATAGAACTAAAATATTAATCGCAAAAAATATTAGTCTAAATAATTTAATCAAAATAGTGATGTGGCAAAGATCTAACATTAACATGAACAACTAAATTAATTACTTAAATTTGGTTTACGGTTTATATAAGCCAAATAATTCAAGTTCATATCTTTAGTGCTAGCAGTGTAAATAATATCAGCAAAATAGTTTATAATGGTGGGGTTCTAACACAAACATGAAATCCTAAATTAATTGCTTAAATATAATTCATGGTTTATATACACTACTAATGGTAAATTAAGCAACGAATAATTTTATCATGCTAGCTTGGACAAATGATAGGAACTTTTGACTTATATCCATCATTCCGCCTCCACCATTGCGCCTCCTTGCTGGAAATCATTAGAAGTAACTTGGAGTTATATGGCCCGTATAAATTAAACAAAGGGCCACATCGTCTGAAGTCAAGGAAAAACACAGATTAGGCCCATATTTGCATTTATAAATTAGGGGAATTGACGAAAAGACCCCTCCGTCCTCTGCGCAGAAGGCCGGAAAAGTGAAACTAATGGAGTTCTGGTGGAGAAACTCCATAATGTAATGGGAGGATAATGGGTTAATAACATTTTGTACCCCTTTACTATTGTCGATTAACAAACGTACCCGTTTATTAATTTTTTGCACGAACATATACTTATAATATTAAAACGTAACGATTGTACCCTTCCATCCAATTTTCTGTTAAAGGACCGTTTAATGAACTATAAATGGACCTTATTGCCCCTCATTAAATCCTAGGATATAATTAATTTTTATTCCTAATTTAATTTAATTAATAATTCCTAAACCATTTTCTTCGACGCCCCTAACTTTCACCGGTCACCAATTAATGGCGGCGACTTCATCCATGCTCTTCAAATCTCCCATGCTCCAGACCCCCCGCCGCAACCGAATCCCCTCCGGCATCCGCTCTCCCCATTTCGTCTCAATAACCAGACCCAAAGCCAATGTTTCCTCTTCTTCCTCCTCCGTTCCTTCCAAGACACATCCTCTGCCGCCTTGGTTGGCGTGCAAGGATTTTGTTACGAGACACGAAATTGAAGAATTCTTGTCTCGTAACTTCCTTGCGATAAAACTAACAAACTATGATAAAACACGGTGAATTGCGATAAGTGAAGGACAATAAACTAGATTTGGGTTCCAATCTTATTCATACCATTAAACGAATGAAACATTACATATTTATAGGCACAAAATCCTCTCCTTCTTCTTTATGGTTTCGGTCCCCTCTTCCCTATTCCTACCCATAGCATGTAACCTTCTCCTACAAGGACACCACAACCAAATCCTAAACAAATACCAAAAGGCAATAAACATCCTACTAAGACTAGGAAATAATAATAATAATATTCCAAAACACTTAATAATTAATAAACTACTAAAATAGATGAGCTTAGAAATTGTCCGAATTATTACGATAGCTAGTCTCGTAACAATCCTCCCCCCTTAAGCGCAACCTTGCCCTCAAAGTTGGTCATGTAAGAACCCTCAACCTGGATCAATGTAAAAGAAGCTTCCTCTAAGGTTGCAGTAGAGAATAATGATGAGTATGGAATAATGGTGATCACATTTTCGGTACTTCCAATTGAGCTTGACCAGCAAATTCAATCCTGCAACATGAGCGGCACCGACAAAAAGGAATTTATCTTCTAATGTGATCGAGCCAGCTACTCCAATGCGGCCTCTATTTTATTATGCACAACTCCACTTATGCTTCCCATGCATGCAACAATCTTGCTTCCCATGCATGTCTTCAATACAACACTCAGTCATCCAAGCACTTCCTCCTAAATTTCCAGTTCGGACCGGCTCGGATTGCCTCTTCAAACACCCACCATAACTAGCATCCTTAATGGGCCACATTATCTGACTGGTGAGCGAGATATGTAGTGAGGGCAGGGGACAATTGCGGTGGCCACGGTGAAGTGCTGGACAATAACTTTAGCATCACAACAGCCTTGATCGACGGTCGGTTTTGTTGCGGTGAAGATGAAGCAGTAGTCGTAAGAGCTGCTCCCTGAGAGACGAATGCAACGACGATGGGGGATGGCGACGCCGGAGCTATAGCGCTCAATGTTGGGCCGACTTGGACTAATGGCGGTGGTTCCTATGCTAGTTGTACTCGGCGTAGGGCTTCCGGCGCTATTTTGTCGATGGAGTGGCTCACAGATGGAGTATCCTGATAGAATTCCATTCAACCTGGGTCACATTTAATTGTGGAACCCCTGCTCATTCCTCACTTAGGAAGGCTTCCAACGAAGAGTGGCAAGATCGTAGGGAACTCGTTTGGAAGACTGTCTTGCAGAGTAATCCGAATCCGACTCGGACTAGGATTACTACTACCATGTTTTACCTTTTCTGTTTTGAACTAGTTTTTCGTGTTTGATTGTGTTAAGGATTTCCAGAGTAGTTTGATTAGTAGCGTAGGTCTATTTAAGAGTTCCAATTCATTGTAATTGTCAGTTTTTCTTTGAAGTTGAATACAACCTGAGTTGGTTCGCAAGCTTGTGTGCTTCGTAAGTTTGAGAAGAGTGGCATAGAGAGACTCTAGGTTGCTCGAGGAGCTTGTATGGATCAATCACCCCCTTGATCGTGGCCAAGCACCAACTATCTATTTCGAGCCTTTCACCGCGTGAAGAACTACATGAAATTGACCGTCCACATCTATCCATTTCACCCCTGTTCGTTTGAAATTGAGGGATTGAATCAATTCAATCCATCTATGCGCAACTTTGACACCAAAGTCCCATACATAGCCTTATCAACCACCTGCTCACGAAGTCTTATTCTCCGGCTGGTGAGAGTGCCTTTCCGCAATGAATGATCTCGTTGACTCGAGGGTTATGGCATGCGGCTAGGTGAAAGCTAGTGCGATGAGGACGTTGGTGGACGGTGGCCCGACAACAACAGTTGGTGATACTTTAATGGTGGTTGACGTGGCTAGTGGCGGCGCTGGAGCTAGCTTCTTGTCGGTAGCCAGAGACAGGTCTTTTATTGGAGGCCACTTTGAAGCTAGGGTTGGCTCTTCAACTAATGGATCGGATGCTGTTGGAAGCTTCCCCTAAGCTATAGTTGTGATAACCGAAATGGGACACGATGGTAGTGCGGATATTGGTGAGCAAACAACTCTCGTCACGTTAGGGCTAGGGGTTATTGGTGAGGCAGGTATGATGGATGGGGGGCTATAACCTCGGAGGCTAGCTCTTGAGAGGGCTCAACAATGGGTGGCGATGACATCGTCATTCGTAGCCTCATTTGGATAGCCATCATCGATTGGTTGTACTTCTACCGACTTTCCTTCAAGTGTGCCAAGATTTCTGCTTGGAAATCATCGTCTTGGGTTGGTGTTGTGCTCTTGGAAGAAGGTGGTTGTGTAGCCACCTTGTCATGGCTGACAGCGATGGTGTATCCAGGGAAGTTGCGGATTAGTCTCTCCTTCCAACCAACTGGTTGCTAGGATTCACTGGCAACAGTACCCCCTGGGCCTTCCTCGTGAGGCCAATCCCAGCTGAACATCATCTTGTGCGATGGGTAGTAATCAGGCGATGTGTGATGATGAAAATCGGTAACCTGTGTTACACCCCGCTCTTCCCAAAAGTCAAAATGACTATTGTACCCTTGGTTCAAGTTCCACCGTATTATTAATGAGAATTAAAAATGTGAACTATCGGTTCAAGCGGTGTCGAATTTCAACATAACGTGAGAAAGTTACGGACATTAACTGGGTTTCGGATTAAACTCACCCGTAATTGTGAAGCTCCAAAAATACCCTTGGACTAATTAAAACCCTAGAGCCTTACCCTACTCGGATTCACCACTGAAACAAATAAAACCCTGTTGTTTTATTTCCCCATCGCGGAAAAAAACACTTCACAAAGAGATAGAGGAGACCGCTGCTAGTCAAGGGATTTGAAGTAATTGGAGCATTGCTAGTTGGCAGCAGCTCGGATATTGAAAATGAAGGCCGCGAAGCTCTCGATTATGCTAGAGAATCAGAGGATATTCGACCGCAACTAGCTCTGTTTCTCCCCTAGCACCAGCGGACAAGCACAACCGCCCCGGGCCGCCAGAAGAAGACACTTGGTTGGATTCAATCTTCCCCCCACCTACGAGCAGCAAAGAGAAGCGCCAGCAGCAATGTCCTTGTGCCTAGCATCGCCATCCTTGGGATCAGATAGGAGAAAGCAAAATTGGACCATCCTCATGCTCTCGGTTACAGGTTAAATCAAAGGCTTCCCCCTTGCAATTCAATCACTACACGTGCATGGGTTATTGCATTGGATGGAAGTCTATTAACATTACTGGGAATGGTATACATGGATGGATGGATTAGGTGATGTGGGGTATGACAAAAAAAGATGGAAAACGAGAAGTGATGGAGGAGGAAGCAAAATCGGATCAGTCAACTTGAACAACCAATTAGGTGAGTGTAAAGGGGGTAAATTCTACGCCTTACGTATTCTTTTAAGTATTATGACTTTACGTATTTTAGTTAATTGGTTATCATTGCTTGATTATGTTTATGATTGATTATTTGTGCTTTGCTTGAGCTATGATTGAGGTGATTTTGTACTATTTGAGGTGATTTGGGTGAGTTTGTGCTATTTACCTTAAAGTGTTATGTTATGAGTTATTGCTAAAGTTTAAGAAACAAGTTCTTTTTAAGAAGTAACTCACCTTCAAGAAGGTGAAGTCGTTTTAAGTGTTTTTTAGTCACAAGCGCCAGTCCGTTACCATTTGAGATTTTCAGATAGAGCAGCAGTTATGCTCTTGAGATCTTTGAGACAGAGCAGCAACAGTTATGCTCTTGAGATATTTAAGATGAGCAGCAGCTATGCTCTTGAGAATCGTGGTGAAGAGCAACCACGATAAGTTTAAGATGTTAGGGGGATGAATTGTTACAACTCCCCTAACTAAGTTTAAGTTTAAGGAAAGCCTAGATGGCTTCTCATACGTATGAGTTGGCAACCGGACTAGCTAGTGAGGGATCCCAGTGACAGTCAAGTATTTAAGTCGAGATTTGAGCTTTAAGAATGGAGAGTAACAGTAACTCCCATACAGTTTTAAGAGTTAGGAATTTTAAGAGTGGAAGTACAAACAACTTCCACAAATTTAAGTAAGTGTTTTAAGTAAAGTACTAAGCAGTAAGAATTTTAAAGGTAAGGGCGTAGACTGACCCCATCTCACTCACCAGTTTGAAGAGCTAGAGGAAGAGCTAGAGGAGCATTTAGTGAGCAGCGAATTCGAGGGCAGGCAGCTAGAGGAGGGCAGTATGAGCGTCACAGAGGATGCTTAGTCAAGTTTTTCAGTAGCAGCAACGACAGAGACTACCTAGTTATTTACATTTTATGATTATGAGTATAGACTGGAGAACAAATTGAGATTTAAAGTTTGAGTTAATTTGTCCACGTGTTAGGGCTTTGCTCTGAACTACAGGTGTGTTTTTTCGCTATTTTATTTATGAAAAATTTTCCCGCTGCAATTTAAGATTTGAGCATTTTATTTATCAAGGGCATTTTAGTAAAAGTTCTTTTAAGAGTCTATAGAATCTCCAGTCTACTCTAATCATATTAAGGTGAATAACTATGACAGCACGACACGAAGGGATGATAGCCAGGGTGCGATTGTTTAAGAATAGGCTAGGACGCGATTTAGTTAACATGTCGTGGTTTGTCAAATGAGAGATTTTGGCATATGGTGATCGCTAGTAAGAAAGAAAGGATGAAAGAAACGTGACCAACCCAAGTAGAATCTCAAAGGCTCTCAAGACCAAGTACCTCATCGACATGATGGATTGTAGTTTTTCAATTAGTTAACCAACTACTCGGACGTTAGCAAACAGGTCATCATCATCATCAACCTAGAGAAGGAAGGAGGAACGTTGAAAAGGTCTGTGGAGGTAGAATCAAACATGCGCGGACTTCAACTCCAAACACCAGCAAGGAGGTGCCAATTGAAAGGGAATACCTCAAGGATTTTGAAGGAGTTGAGAGAGTAGTATGAGGATTTTACTACTAGGAAACAAGTGGATAATCTAATAAGCTAAGACAAACAAAGGGGAGAAATATGAATCTACAAAGGAAGAGGAACAATCACCAGATGCCAGTAGCTATGATAATGGGAGAATTTCAGGGTCCTTGACCCTAAGCAGTGGAAAGTGGGAAACGGGTCAAGAAACGAAGAAGTACCACCAGAAGTCCCTCAACTAAATTTAGTGGTCAACGCTATTACAACATAGTGACAAGGAGCAGTGGAAAGCTTAGACTTCAAGAGAAGCCAGGGTAGTATAAATGAGGTAAAGAAGGAAGTAAGCAGGTTAGAGGGGGTCTGAAGGGACGTCAAGAAGTCAAAAGTTTAAGAAGGAGAGGAGGCATGGTCGTTTACATATGAAGATGAAGGAACTCTTATAGATAAACCACGTAACTGGAGAAGAGGGTACTTAATCCTGGGGAGTTAGGCCGATGAATAGCCTTTAGAAGGAACAAGACAAGCAACGAGATAGATGATGTAGAGGGAAAGTTATGGTCTCAGTACGAGCACCATTGGACGAGATGTGGAGGAAAGTGCCACCAAAGTCTAAAGCATGCCTGGTAGAAGACAGTGGGGAGTCAATACATAAGAAAATACATGGATTGTGAGAGAGAATAACAGTTAGCTAGTAGATGGCAGTACGAATAGAGAACCACTTCTCAGAAGTGCATGAGTTGGATACCAAGATAACACCGAGTTAGAAGGAGGATAGTAGAGACCCTACAAACTACCCAGGTCACAAAAGGTCAGGAGGATGTTGGGACCGTTGGAAGGGGTATGCAAGAGTTCATGATGATCTATTATGGGATTGGCATCTCTTAAATAGAGGGAACACCTGGCCTCCTAGGGTACATGAGGGGTGATAGAAAGAGGAACCTCTCTACTAAGTTGGAACTAGAGGGCTAAGAGCTGAGGTCTCGGAACTAGCTATAGAGTAAGTCATTAAGCCAACCGAGTATAGGCAAGTAAGTGGAATGTTCAATAAATGTTCTAGTGAAGGCCAGAGAATTCGAGGAAACACGTGGAAGTTCCGATGAAGGATTGGGAATATGTGTAGGTGACTCGTGTTCAAGAAAATGCATAGTGGAGTACGACGAGGAAAAGCATTACCAAGAAGGAGGAAATCATTAGGTTACCTTACCCAAGGTGCACCACTCAGAGCGAGTACGACATAGTAGGATGTCATCCATAAAAGAAGGCTAGTTAAGGATAAATTAGTGATATTTAGTTAAGCCACTAAGAGCCATGACTAAGAGATTTAATTAGTGATATTTAGTTAAGCCACTAAGAGCCATGACTAAGAGATTAAGGCTATGTACAAGCATCGGTCGAGACAAAAGACGTGGATGAGGTATGTTCAAGCCTACCAAGGGCAAGCCACTATTGGAAACTTTGACCCAAAACAACAACGAGAAGATACTCAACAGAGTTTGGTGACCGAAAATAGTACAAAGTATCAACAGAAGGGTAGTAAAAGTAAAGAAGCAAGGAGAACACCATAGAATGCTATAGAAAATAAAATAAAATAAAATAAGTGGTTGTCAACCTGACAATGAATGCGTGAAGGAAGATAGTGGGACGTGGTCAAGCACCATCATGAGTAGAAGTCGTGGGTGTCGTCTGTCAAGTTTACCTAGAGAAAGTTTCTAGTGGAAATGTTGGCTCTAAGGTATGGCGAGGAGCTACTAAACTGAGTAGATCAAAGCTAGTACCAAGCATCGTTGAAGGAGTTGTGGAAGTAAGGAGGAAACCACAAGGCTATAATGAAAGTTATGGTGAAAAGGGTGGTAGTTGATAAAACGACAAATTCAGGGAGAAAGATAGTTTGGAAGAGCCGGCGAAAGAATACGAAGGTCAACAAGGAAGCGTTAAGGTGATTGCCAGTGGAGAATAAGTTGGACCATAGGAAGCCCATCAAGAACTGAGAAGCTCAATGGTCAACTTTAAAGTAGAAGTGTGGTGGTCCAGAACGGTCGAAGGGAAAACCTTATCGGTCAAGGTACATAAGTGAGAAGAGAATATGGGCACCAAGATGACTACATCGAGGACGAGGGACATATAGAACTAGCGAGAAACATCGGTAAGAGGAGTCACGAGTAAAGAAGTAAGATGGATATGAGTTTAGCGAACCTGTTGGGATACCCTAAAGTGAAAGCAATACCACCTATGAGGGTGAAATGTGGTGATCTCTCAGGTGAAAATTTCTTGGACGGGGAAACTGTACGAGGAATTTCAGGCAAGGTCAAAGAACAATAGAAGAGATCATACGAGAACTCCCAAGTCAAACGATGGTAAGGAAGTGTTAAGTTAGGTGCCAGGAGTGAGCAAGTACGCAAAATGGAAGGTCATGATTCTGGAAAGGATTCATAAAGTTGATCACAAGCTAGAGAAAGACGCAAAGGATGCCTCTAATGCATACAGGAAGTA